AATTGGGACGTTGAGGTTCTAGGGAGTGAATGGCTCCTAGGGGTATTTTTTCTCTCTAAGAAATGTTTCTCTCTCTCCTATCCTCTTGAGTCTTGAACTTGAAAGCAAAACAAAAGAACAACCAAGAGCAAATGATTAAGAATTCAAGAATTTACTCCAAATGTTCAACAGTTCAAGAGAGAGTATTACGAATGACTTGAGTTCCTTATATATAGCAACCACAAAACAAGGGTGAATTGCTCAAAAACTACCAAAATTGTCACAAAATACACATTTTATGCATTAAAATATTAATCCCGTTTTTAGACCAAATGACCAAAATACCTTTCAACACTTTTCTACAATTGACAAAACTATCTCTCCATGAGAGGCTTCTTGCCATTGCTAGGCTTTGGGAGTTTTTTTAGACGTTTATGGTGGTAATTCGAGCGATCAAACATTGTAAAATCGATGCTTGAACTATTGCACATGTTTTGATACCCTTTGATCGTCTTGAAATTGATTTTTTAGAAAGAACCCAAAATCTGGCCAAGTCAATAAACTTTGTGATTCGTAGACCACCAATCGGGCATGATCCATGACGTTCCAAGCTTTCATTTTGATCACAAATTGAAGAGGATACTATCACGATCAATTATGGAAAGTTGCCTAAAAATGGGATTTCGGCGACCGATAAAGTATACCATTTTCGACCTCAAAATTCGGTGCCATTCAACTCCGATCATTCGCAAAAATTGTATCAAACTATAGCTCTTCGAAGCACGACTGCAACTGACCCATACTTGCAATGATCCGACATCGGGATCTTGAGCTATGGCCTCACAAAGAATTGGATGTTCTTCTTTTTTAAAATTTGAATTTTCTTGTTTCAAGCCCATCTTCTCTCTAGAAATTTTCTCGTTTCGGGCCACATCATGATGTATGCCATATGTTAAAACGAGTGTATCGTTGAGATCTAGCTTGTGTCTGAATTTTAGCTTAATTGGAAAAAAAATGAGCAAGTCATGAGAATTTAAAAATCATCCAGAAATGAGAAAACACAATTTTCATAAATGGAAACTGGTTCACCGGGGCTGCACCACAATCGTGTAAAACGCACCATTTTATGGTAAGTTAGACCCAATGGTCTCGGAGGATCCAATGGTCTCGGAGGATCAAATTGAGCCAAAATTTGGTACCTAGGGGATTTCGACGTTCCAGATCCAATGATGGTGGTCTGATATTGCTTTGAGACCCAGAAAATAGGGATATAATTATAAGGTCTATTTTCAGTATGATAGGAACTGGCTTTGCAAATTGGGTATCATACTAATCATCTCAAAACTCAATAGAACGCGACGAAACTTTACAGGTATCCTTCGGGTAATTACCCTCTCATGCAATTTGAGATCATTCAATATTAGGCTTATAGCTACATTGTTCCCGTGGTCTAACGGTATCTTGGGCACCAGTGGGACCAGGTCACTACCGGGCTCTTTCCTTATTCACCTCGAGAATACAAGGTGTCAAAAATGACATATAACAGTTATATTCGAGGCACGCTTGATGGTGCTATGTTGTTCTCTTCATCTTCCACTCTTGAACTTCGTGCTTTACACTCATTTTGATTTTGTGGGGGCCACAACCGATAGGAAGTCTACTATCAAATTTTGTATTTTTCTTGGTGATTCTCTTATTCTTGGAAGAGTAAGAGGAAAAAACATATTGCATAGTCCACAGCTGAAGCTGAATATTGAGCCATAGCTCAAACAACGACAAAGATTGTCTGGCTTCACTAGTTATTAACTGATTTAGGTGTGAAACTTTCTACTTCTACTCCCTTATATTGTAATAACAAAAGTGTCATTTATATTGCTAAGAATCTATAAGTTTATAAGCGTATGAAGCATATTGAAGTAGATTGTCATTTTATTCAATATGAATATTTAGCTGAGACAATCTCTCTACCACATATCTCATCTGCTGCACAACTTGCAGACTTCTTTACGAAGCCCTACAATGCTCCTTATTTCTCAAGCTTTGTTTTGAAACTCTCAATGGTTCGCTTCCAACCATCACAAGTTTGAAGGGGAGTTAACAACCTATAAATATTGCCTCTATACAATATTTCATTTCATTTTTTGTGTACTCATATTAGGAAGGTTATTTATTATGTACTACTTTGTAACCCTATAAATTGATAGTGCTTGTACATAATTTTACATATTGAGAAATACAATATTTTCACATAGCCTACGTAGATCTTACAAATATTGATGTAACAAAAGATATCACAATGATAAATTTGATGGTTATGACATAGAACATAAATTTATTGCTTTTGATTCTATTTAGTAAATGAATATCAGTAAAGCATTGTTAACGAATATCAGAGATATAGATGCTCTACTGATATTTAGTAAATGAATATCAATAAAGTATTGTAAATCAATATCTGATATAGATGGTCTACTGATATTGATCAGAGATCTAGTTGCTCTACAGATATTGATCAGAGATACAAATGCATTGTTTTAAGAGGCTTGCTATCAAACACATGCCAAAATTGAAGGTAGATACATAAAAAAATGCCCATAATATATTCTTAGCAAAGTATTAAGTAGTAGTAGACCATAAATTATTGAACTGAATTGGAATTTCAATGGAATTGATGATAACTTTAATGAGTCCCCCAAAATAAATGTTGCTTCAAACCTATATCTGTGATTCAAAATTTACCACATATATGTGATTCATTAACCATGTCTAAGCAATAACATAAACATAGGGAAATTATGAGAAACTAGGAAACATGTTTGCAAAAAGCAATTTTCTTTTTTTCAAATAGAATCATTTCCGACAACAAAGCATTGTAAATGAATATATTTTACCTTCAATCACTAAAATAAAAATCAATAAATCAACCAATAGGCCACCAAAAATCATGTAAAATCATAACCAAAAGCACCCAGCAAGCAATCAGACTCAATCTTAAAATCATAAACATCTACATGACAACTACGATATGAAAAATCACATCTGCACATAGTCTATTCAAACAACTACACTCCAGAAAAAATAACCAAAGTATGAAAAAATAAATTTTGATGAAGGAAGAGTGCATGACTAGCTGTTGATTAGCAACAACAATTGGAACAAGCTAAAATCTAGAAAAATCTAAATTAAAGTTAAAAAATAATAATGAGCAAGAGAAAACATAACCCCACAAATCAGTGTAAGAATTAGTGAGTACAATAAACAAAGAAAAAACTAGTTTTGCAAAGGGCCCATCGGGTGTTCAAGCATGAGTTAGAAGTTGCAAAAATCAATTTAAAGCAAAACAAATGCAAATAAACAAAGTAAAAAGAGACCAAAACCTAAGGCTACAAAATAAACAATGAAAATGAACCAGAAAGACCAAAAAAATATTGAATTAAATACATAAACTAGGATTTATCTCATGCTGATATTCAATTTCACCGAAAAACTAAATTGATGCAAACAAAATAACGATTCAGGATTTATCTCATGCTGATATTCAATTTCACCGAAAAACTAAATTGATGCAAACAAAATAACGATTCAGATGTAGCAAAGCCCAAAATGAGAACACAGCAAAACAAAACAAGGAAACAAACCAAACAAACAAGAAATTGAGTTTTAGGTTACAATATAGCCAAAAGAACATCATGTAAGATTGTAAAGAACTAAATGAAAATAAAACAAAGGTAAAAAAGAAGGAAAAAGTTTATATAAGGATGCAACCTTATAATGTAGAACTACGGATGCGCCTAAAAAATCCATCCAAAAAGGTAGTTTTGATATTGAAAAACCTTTTAATTGATCATCTCGACATCGAGATGTATGACCATGAAAAATAAAAAGTTTTTAAGTCTCATAAATAATGTA